GCTGTTCAAGGGCAAAAACAACTTTTTCGATGACAGTGGCCATGATAGGATGCTTAGGGGCAACCGCGATCAAATTCTGCGCAACAGTGAACGGTTTAAACCCCGAGCGCCGGATAGCACCACGGTCAAAAAGCGGTGCCACTTGGTCGAACCATGGCTTAGCGACGCATCGTAGTGGTTGAGGTGGATGCCGTGGGAGTCGAACGTGCTCGTATGAGTGGACGAGCCCATCATCTGGGGTGTGAAGATCATTTAGTGGGACATCACATCGTACGTCAAGGTCCATGTACCAGCCCCCGTACTTGTACAGTACACAGTACCTCCATAAGTCCGCCCGGGCTGCGCCAAACTTCGGATTGATGGAAAAATAGGCGTCCGCGACACGACCTCGATACTCCGTGGCAATGAAAGCCTCCGCCTCGCTGTCGTTAACAAAGCGGTGCAAGTATGTTGGATTCATGGACTGGATATGGGCACGATTCGTGGCGGCATTGGATCCCAGGCTTGACAGTTTCCAAGTCTGCCACACAACATTCGGGATGAGCTCCTTGCTAAGGTCTACGCCGCGCGATCTCAGAGAAGACGAGACGCCACAGAACTCTCCCCGGCACCGATTCGCGCGTGCGCTAGAAATGGAAAAGGTCGCAAACACGATCATTGTGGCCACCATTACGCGGCACAACTCCGAGGGCGGATCTCACTAGTATACTCAACGTGAGTCTGCGAAGACAGATTTACAGTGAACTGCACCTTGATGTTGCAGTGCACCTTACCCCACTGCGCCCCTACTGCACCTGCTGGATAGTAGCTTGACCGACGTCACAGCGGCGTTAGGGAGCTAATAAACTATTCTAGCTTCCTAGCCTACGCACACTGTTTACGGCCGCCGGCGGGCTTCAAGTTCGCGGCCTCCAGAAATAATGTCAAAGGATTGTAAGGCCCTTCAACTATAGAACTAAGTAGATATTACCTCTGATCTCCCCGGGTAGTCTAGGGGCACTGGCGCGGGCTCTCAGCCTGGATGACACCAAGGCAGCCTTCGCTAGATGTGAGATAAGGAAGAGAGAAAAGATACGGCGACGCGTATCTGTAGGGTATGAGATAAATAGGGCGGATACATGCATTGCAATGCCAGCTTCAAACTAAGCTAAAGGTAGATATTGAAGGCGGAAATCCCGCCACAATAATAAATGAATACTTCTATGGGGCGCTCTAGCTTCATGGTTGGTTTTGGCCTTGCTTCGTATATTATAATAACCTCGCTACAGCACGTACCACTAACTAACTACCCCAGAGTCGCGACTTGCTCAAAATGAGTGGTCAAAACAGCTGCAACATGGGGTCAACGAAGCCTGTGAACCACCCGTTCTGGCCGATCGGCAGCTGGAGGGCTGCTCGGCCACGACCTCCACACGGTCGAAATTTATGATCGAGCACTAAAACCACCAGTTTGCTCGAGCTCGATATCAAAACTGGTCGATAGAGCCAAAACAAGCATATTTCCGGTGGAATCGAGTGGTCTCCAGCGGCTCCAGGGGTACCACCCCCACCACCACCACCACTACCTAACCCCATTCTCAGAGCACCATGCCAAATTCGACGTGACAGTGGTTAAGGTTGTTTGTGCATACCTCTTGAAGCGGACGCAAAATTTTTAATAAGGACCATCACATGTTTATAGGTGGAAATTTAATTCTAGCGGCACCGAGCTCGCGTGCATGGATCCAGCGGAAACAGACGTCGTCGACACGCAGAATCCAATTTCTGCAGACAGGGTCCAGTTGCATGACCTGCCTGTCGGTGAGGCGTCAAATCCTTGCGTGCTGCAGCATATACGCGTTCGCACGATGGATCAGTCAACGCATAATTTGCGTGTCAATCCAAATGAATCAGTCACAAACTTGAAGTCGAAGATAACCGTGGTCACCAATGTCCCAGGGGTGCGCCATTTCCATCATAGATCGTCGGCGGCATATCAGTGTTTTCAGGATCGACAACGGCTCATTTATCGAGGGCGTGTGATGTCAGATGCACATAGTCTCACCGAGTATGTACTAGCTATCTACGCTTCGATACACACGCGAAAGGATATCATAGGTATCACATTGAAGACGGCCATACGATTCACATGGTTGCGAGTCCAATTAGGCCAAGAGCGATGTCCGAGGCTGATGCACCATCAGCGACAAGGCCCGAGGAACTTCCCGAGGATAATAGTGGCATGGGAGCTAGGCGTATTATTGCAGGTGCTTTAGACATGGATACAGCACGTCTCGTCTCCGACGCTCTCGGTTTTGTTCGCCCGTCAGATTCAGGCGTAAGTCACCCTGTCAATGAAAAGATTTTTTTCGGATGAATAGTTCTTACCAAGTGGTAGTATCTCCGCACGGAATAACACAGGCACCTGTGCGACCGACAGCTGCTGTAGCTTTTGGTCGAAATATGCCTATGCAGCAACCTGCGGTGGGGTTGACTGGAACTGCGGTTGCAGGCATCGGCGCATCCCTCGAACACGTGCGACAGGGTCTTCTGACACTCCACACGATTCTCTCAACAATGCAAGACCCAACCATCGTTGTTGATCTTGCCAGGAGTAACATCCGTGAAGGGATGCTAACCGTGGATAGTGTTGAGCCTAATGTTTGTTTGCTTACTTCCTCTGCGTTCGCCGGAACAGCAAGGAATCAGTTGCAGGAGTCCCTGGATGACGATCGTCCTTCCTTGGTGACATCACAGACATCAATCCCTCAAGCAGCTTCGGAAGGAATGATTGATAGCACAATTTCAAACAGGCAGACACCGAACGAAGATGCCCTTGAGGCTGCTGTCGCTGTTGCGGCGGCGCGCTTGCGGCTCCGCCGGACGCTCGCAACTGTGGCCACGAGTCAGACAAGTATGTTGGTCCCCGCGCGGTCGCCACGACGCCGGCGATTTCGGGACCGTCAACGTGCTAACCCGCAAGCCAACGCTGGACATGAAACCGCATACTGCCGGTCGCCGACGTTTTTTGCCGGCCAGTGGCTCGATGTCGAAGACACCGTGCACCAGTGGCTCGAAGCGACAGTGATGCGGGTCCGCAGTCGTCGGATGCTTGTTCTTTAACCTGAGTAGACAAAACATCCTTCTGTGTGAGGTAAAAGTACAGGTCCACTATAATGGCTGGCCGACACGATGGGACGAATGGATAGACTTCGACAGTAACCGCCTTGCACCTTTCCGCACTCGCACCCTTCACTCGTCCAATTCGTCGCACGCGTCTCCTTCGCCTGTTGCGCACATTGATGACGCGCCCGTGACATCTTGGGCTTCTCCCCGTGTCCTTGTAGCGTAGCATATGGACTTTCACATCGCAGGCACGAGAGCGACGAAGTCGAAGTGCAGCCGCGAGAGCGACAGCGCCGCCAGATGGGCGCGCGCGCTTTCCTAGCCTTGCCACTGAGGCAGCCCAGCGTCGTGTCGCGGAGGACGTGCGTGTTGCAGTTGTTGAAACACAGTGCTAACAGAGTCCTAGTGCTCATATCTGCACTCATTTTCTCAATACCAGGCGCATCTTCAACAGAGTCGCACCGCTCCTCGAAGCGCTCGCAGAAATGAGCCGAGATGATTTGAGTCGACGAGATGCAGAGGCTGTTGCAATTCTCACTTCTGCTAGTGACCCCAATCTCCCGTGGGCCTGGCCAGCAATCCAGTCGGACGGCTCTGACACAACAAGAGGCGACATGCCGGTGCTCACAGAACGCGAGCAGTGCTGCGTGACCGTGCGTGAGAGCTCAATAGAAAAAAGATTGTGTAGGCGATGGGAGAAGAACTATCGAGATAAGCAATCTCGCCCGAGACGCAGCGCCGCTCTTAGATCGCTTAGGTCGTGTTCTCTCAGATCTATCGCCACATGTTGCTTCCCGCGCCTTCGTATCCGCTAGCACATCAACCTGAGGCACAGGTCGCCGCGCTCGCAAGGGATCGCCACACACCACACGTCTCAACTTCAACGGAGGAAGCTATAGATCCTCCACTTGCTGCGGCTCGACTTAGAGGACGCTCCTACGAGATAGATGGCGCTCATGAAGATGGCGACGGCATGACCACCAACTCACCTGCACAAGTTGAGCCGACCTTGCCAACAGACAACCTCCTTGGCGTGGTCGGACCTGAACGCGCGCCACTCTCACATAGTGACCCTTACCGCGCACTTGTTGCAACGCCTTCCCGCGTGCCTCACCTCCATCCCCCTGGCTCGTCTCCAGGGAATATTGACATCCACATCCATGCCATCCTCACACCTCTCCGAAACCAGGCTAATATAATACCGGCCGATGAAGGTGTGAACGCCCCGCCTAGCTCAACCAACACGCCCAGCCGTCAATCACAATCGCAATCACAAGGTGCTATCTTTGAGGCAGTTTCGCCCTCGCCCTTGCTGAGTGTGGATCAAAATTATCAAGAGGCAACTCAAGAAGCATGTATAGACGACACGAGTTTATGTCCGTTGGACGAACAAAACACGTCTTCCTGGATCGCCCAACACGAAGCGCCTGAAACTGTCCCGCTACAAATCAATGAGATACGTACGTTATACACAGAATACGCAGCAGAGTACTATGAGTTTGCAATGGCCTATCTCAACGCTGCTGTCAGATACTGTCTTTGAGAGACTGGGTGCTTAAACATTTGAGAAGCGTGGTCCTCTACAGTCTTGATCGCTTGAGGTGGACTCGCCCGCCCTCTGCCCAGCTCCCCACAGACACGCAATGCGAATGGCAGCGAATATTATAGGTGATCTCGAGGGGGCGCACTGGCACGGAACACCAAGCCTGGCCGGGCGTGTCCCGGAGACATCAGCCCTGAATTAAACGGACATTCAGGGGGGGTTCGACTGCGACCCTAGCCCTCAATCAAGCCATTCTAAGCATACTAGAACTTACTGTGCTGCCACTGTACCACATAAACCCTGTATCCTACCCTGCCTAACCCGCCTCAAGCTTGAATAAATTGTATAGCACGCGAGACGATGGTGACGATGGACTCGAATTCACTACTCATGCCGCTCCCAGCCAGCCGCGTGCGCAGTCGGAGAGCGGGACAGTTTCGTCAAGTGGTTCATTGAGGGTCATACGGCAATATAAGGTTACTCATCTAGCTCGTCGAATCAAGATCTTATGCGTTCGTTCGCGTGTGAGGGGGGCGAGCTTTCCCTGGCCTACAGCGAGCTGGAATCCATCCCCGCGGAGCTGGCCAGCGGCGAGGGACCACATGTTCGCACCCTCAATCTCACGGAAACGGGAATCAAATCGCTCAAAGCGTTGGAACTCTTTCCGCGGCTCCAAACCCTCGTGCTCGACAAGAATGCACTCGTTGGCTTGATAGACTGTCCGCCAATCCCCACACTGACCACCCTGTGGTTTAATAACAACAGCATCGTAGACTTGGTCGGTTTCATTGACGACGTCGCTCGCCTCTTCCCGTATTCTGCCTGCGCCACGCTGCTGCGGGTGTCTGCGATGACCCGTTCTCTTCTAGGCGCATCACCTACTTGAGCTGCATGCGGAACCCGGCATGCCCGGGTCTCATGGACATTGTGACGCCTGACGAGGAGGCGTGCAAACACTACCGCCTCTATGTGCTCCATCGACTCCCAAGGCTCGAATGCCTTGACGCCGCAGACGTAATTGGACCCGAGCGATCCGAGGCTGCAATTCGAGGCCAATTCTCGATCAAACGACGGCCAAACAATCAGCATGCGCCTGCTGGACCTGGCCTTGTCGAGATTGGGAACAAGGATGAAGGCAATCCCTTTGCTGTGCGATCAGAAGATATCGCCGCCTCTTCGGCCAGTGTCCCAAACGCTGCGCCCATCGCCCAAGGCGCAGCGACCAAATTTGTCGCGCAGAGGAAATCGTCGTACGACGGCCAGAACTCGGAGGGGAACCGGTTCATCCGCAATGACTTGCTATGAGTCGCTCGAGGCGCGCGACGCACTCTTTTAGTTTCTGCTCCTCCGACGGCTCGCGCCGTGTGAGCACGGACCCGCCGGTCAGGGCCACGGATTCGTCGCGCATGGTTGCGTGACAGTGCGTGCGGGCAGTCCGACGAGCTTGAAAGTTAGTCCTTTTGTTAGCGGAAATGCGGGCAGCGTAGGCTTCAAATTAGGAACCTGCCGACGTCGTACTGCACGCGGCGCAACTGCCGGTCCCGGGGTCGCAAAGTGTAAGTTTACCTTCGATGGGACGATGCTCGGCTGCGGCGACACTTGGGCATGTCCTCACCAAAAGGACGTGCCGCTCCAGGCCTTCGCGACGGAAAAAAGCTTCGACGGCGACGGCGCCGAGGATGACCGCCAGATGAAGCAACGGCTTCGGCGACGGTCTCCTCGCCGGTGCAGGTCAGG